TCAGAGACGGGGGAAAATTTGAAAATTTGTCGAGCACGAATTAAGTAGCCTTTTTTTAGCGTGTTTTAAAAGACGACGCTTGTTAATGAGAGATAAGGTTTTCAAAGACGGGTGAAATTTTGAAAATTTATCGAGCGCGAATTCACTTAAGCGGCCATTTTTTAGCGTGTTTAAAAGATGACGTTTTTTTAAAAAAAACGTCATCTTTACATAAAATAGACGACGGTTTGTTATAAAAAGCGTCATCTTTACATATAATAGACGACCCTTTTTTTAAAACAACAGTCATTTTTACTTCATAATAGACGACCATTTTTTATAAAAATCATCATCTTTACCTATAATAGACGACCCTTTAAAAAAAAATCGTCATCTTTACTTTCAACTCTTTAAATACGTTTTTGGAAGGCTAAACGACCTCAAATGGCCAAAAACCACCATATGTTCCTGGCTTCATTCCCTTTTCAGAAAAGTATTATGGACCTCAATCAGAGTTCAGACAACAAAACTGCAAATTCCCTCTACGTCTCTTCTGTTCCCACTGTTTTATGCATCAAAACCGGATAACAGCCCCATACTAGTTACATGCCTCTTGAAAACATTATTTGGTAGCCCTTTATTGAATGTAACAGGCCCATACTAATTACATACATCTTTACATATAATAGGCGACCCTTTTTTTAAAAAAATCGTCATCTTTACTTCATAATAGACGACCCTTTTTTAAACAAACCATCATCTTTACATATAATAGACGACCTTTTTTAAAAAAAACCGTCATCTTTACTTCATAATAGATGACCCGTTTTAAAAAAAAAACCGTAATCTTTACTTCATAATAGACGATTCTTTTAAAAACAAACCGTCATCTTTACTTCATAATAGACGACCAATTAAAAAAAAACCGTCATCTTTACATATAATATACGACAGTTCTTTCAAAACAACCATGTCTTTAGCAAAAAAAAGGACACTTGATTTTTAAAAGATGATGCTTGTCATACCTGCTGTCATTGTTTTTTGGTTAGATTTTAACTCTGAAGAAAACTTTTTTTAATAAGACGACGCTTTTTTATTTGTGTGTGTCGTTATAAAAAAATATTCAACAGTACCTTCGTTTTTTAGTTGTTTAAGTCACTTATCCATGACGGTTTTTTGTTACCGTCATCTTTTTAAATACAATGACGGTTTTTTCTTCTACCGTCGTCTTTTTCTGGTTGTCTTTTTCACTTTTTGTAGTAGTGCTGGTCAAAAATTACATCAAAACTATATGCAATTGCACATAAGAAATGATACAGCAAAATGTAGAGTGTTGGATGTTAATACTCGTATTCAAATTCTTTAGCTAAGAAAACACCAATTCTAAGACATGTGGCTTGCAAAAGTTAACCATCAACCACTTGGATTGAAGAAACCAAAACCCGGAGGAGGTTTCTCAGTTACAGAACTTTTCTTTCTCTTTTGATGCCAACCTCAGTTCCTCCACTAACAAGCCTAAATACTCCATCATTAGATTCAGTTCATGAACTAGAATTCTTGAATAATAAAACAAATAAAAAAAAAAAAAAAAAAAAAAGAAAAAGAAATATGTAGTCTGTTTACAATTACCCACTATTATATAAGTAATTGCATGTAGGTTCACAATATGACTTAGCATTTTATATGCAATTGCACAACCATTCTAGGCCTATCTAGCCTACATGCATTAACAGCTGAAAATCGGCAATTACATGGTCTCCTTGCAATTCCTTGGCCACTGTTTGGAAATTGAATGGTTGTCAATACAAACGCTAATAACGCAAATTACATTGGATTACACATTACTCATATCACCATTAAATTTGTAACTTACATTCTAAAGTCGAATAAGTATAAGAAAAATCACGATTACACTTCATAACTTAGAGCCTAAAGCCTAATAAGCATATGATAAAAAAAAACACCTCAAATATCATCATACCATCCAATGTTAACACTAATGATCCAATGGTTCAAAATAAGTGGCCGGTCAACTGGTTCTCCCTTTTAACTCTTACATGTACTGAATTGAATGCTTATGCTCATTAAAGTATTATATGATAATGTATAGATACTCAAACAACATAATAATTAAACTATCTATATTATAAATCCTTATTTGTCACATTATCATATACATGAGAACTTTTAAGTTTATATGTCCTCAAGTTAAAAAAGTAATGTGAATATTCTTCCTAAGGCTAGTGTCACACCCCTAGTACAACATTAAATCTTTCAATCGTATAGTCATATTATTATTTTTATTTCAATAGTAATTGAAAACACATTGCTCATCTACTTTTACCTTAAATTAAGACCTACATAACAAAATGCTCAAAGGTTTGAACCACATTGAATTAATTAATGTAGAGTTTAACACTGCAGTTGAGAACCATATAAGTAATGTATATGTGATATGTTATTGTAATTAATGTAGGGCTCAGACACCATTTACCAAACATGAGCTCAGAGTGAATTACATTTTTGAAACTAGTGTATTCATATGTACATATCTGTATTTGCGCATAGACAGATTACTTTTGCAATACAGTGACTACAATTGCATGTATGTATCTCTATTTGTTTACAGACTGTCACTACTACAAAAATTAAAATAGACGACGGAAAATCAATGTCATCTAGAAGGTTTTCCAACCGTCGTAAAATCGACCACCATCTTTTTTACATAAAACAACGATGGCTATTAACTGACGTAGTTAATACATCCAACGTCCAAAACTATTACGAACTGACGTGTAATTACTATATATATAGCCTAAAATGAAATCTTCGACAACATTAGACGACGATTTTATTAAAACTAAGACGTCTAAAGACTGTTATATGTCAAGATCAAAACAAGAACTATGTACAGATAATTATCTACGTCCTAATTGAAGGAAAACAAACTTGGATAATGTTGATAAATTTATTGCAAGCGCACAATTCACACAAGTAATATAGTGATGAGTGAAGTGTCGTTCCCACGAAGAGTGATTTAATTTACTAAGTACCGATTGTGATTAACCCAAGACTTTATTTGAACAATTGATGATGAGATTCGATTGATTAATTAACTAAAACAATGATATCTTGGAGTATTCTCTCTCCTTTACTGAGAGTAAAGATTCCTTATTGTACATTCATTCGCTTCCATGAATCTATTGAGAATCCTAATGAGCATCTTTAAGCTATGCATAATTCAACATGACCCTATAGTGCCATCAAAGATTAACAACATAGCTACAAAACATATATGATGCCTCAGGTCTAAGGATTAGTTTGCACTACTGCAATTTATGAGTTCCAACTTGACATGTGAGTAAAGACTTCCATGCTGTAACTCATGTGTTGGATCGCGTTCAGTGTACTTGTTCTTTTACAAGCACCTACACATATATCGATGTATCTCCACACTTAATGACTTGAGACCTTGTCATTCCCTACATATAGAGACGATACTGGTGTACTGGTCTTTACGGAATATTGAAGCCCAATCAATATTCCTATAACCAAGAACATATTTAGGACTAGCGATGATGAGAAGTCTCCATGTATGCAATCTCATTACATAGTTCTCATATCCACTTGGGTATTTATTGGATTATGGTTATTCTACATATTGAAAGATAATATAGGATGATTTAATGTATAAGACAACCTTTCTTGCCCATTGATAACATAATATGTCTTTTATCAAAGATGTCCTTAACTCTAACTATTACATAATTAGTTGGCTTTAAGGGCATATTTCTGAGAGTCAGTTGTGAGATGGTTGTTAGGTTGTTTGATTTTCATTTGATTTTTTGTTTTTATTTATTTTTAATTATTTATATTGAAGTTAATTGTTTTTAACTTAATATTAAATATTTTTTTAATGAAGCAAACTCATGGAATGAGACATTAGAGTGAATTTGTTAACTATTGCAAATATAGTGATGAAATTGAAAAAATTGAAATCACGATGACTAAATTTGATTTCAAGCCAAAACCTAGTGACCAAAAATGTAATTAACCCTACTTATAAATTACAAGATTTGCAAATATTTAATGCATAAGTTGTATGAAATTCAAATAGTGAAGTAATAAATACTAATGCATCAGAAAGGGATAAATGTGATGCAGCTCACAAGTAGGAATCTGACGGAGGGCCGATTCATTGATTTTGGAGGTCTTGGGTAAAAATGAAAAATGAGACCTTTTGGTTTCACACTTATCTCATTTTGAACAAAAATTATAAGAAAAAGTTTCAAACTTAGGTGCTAAGTAGGTTAAAGGTTAATTTTTTTAAATGGCCCATTATATGAAAGATAAAGCAAAAGGCCCAAAAAAACATTAGTTTCAACACATAAAATGCATTTTTTGCTAGTATACTTAGTAGACTGGAGGTGTGTAGGAAGTCCCATTGTTTTAAGGGCCATGTGAGGTCGCCCAGTTCGCCCTCTTTGTGGGCCGAGCCTGATTTGACTCATTAGCTTATTAAGTCAGGCCCGGAACAAAAAGAGCATAATTAAAGATGGGCCCGACAAGTCTTATATTTTTGGGTAAGTCGGGCCAAGGTAATTCGTTCGTCGTGAGCTCATCGTCATAGCCCATGCTAACCGAGACCCAGTGGGCCAACCCATTTCTATTCCATTTACTATATTATATTTGTTTTTAGGGAAAAAAATGTTACATAATATTATTATTATATACAAATTTAACCCATTTTTTTCTTTCTAATAATAAAATTTTAAAATATCTTTTTTTAAACTCAAACAATAGTCTAACCATTGGCTTCTTTTTCAAAAAAATATAAATAAAAAGCTCCCTAACAGCTTCAAATGTCTAAAAAGTACTATCATATAGAATTAATTTGTTCCGGTCGAAGTTGTAGTAAGCCGGTTCTTATTTATATTATTTTACAAGTTCTATTCCAACTTTACCCTTATAGCACGGTCATCATCTTCTTACCATGAAAACAAATACCCCCAAAGGACGCCATGTGGACGGTTTCTCAGCAAGGGTGGGTTACACCGTGGAGACCTTACAGATAAAGACCACGGCGGCTCCACCATGGATTGATAACTCAATGCATAAATTTAAATTATTACATTAAATCTATTCTCAGGTTTATAAGCAATATAACATTAAATCTATTTTCAGATTTATATAACTATTGGCATGCTAACCATATATAACTAATCTTATGGTTGAAGCTTTTGGCTAGGGTTGAGTTTCGGAGAGGTGGGTGGAGGCTGAGGCGGCGGCTCTTGAGGGTTTTGTGCAGTGGCGTGACGGTTTCTCTTTCGTCGAAAGGTGGATTGGGTACTTTGGCCGGCGGGTCAAGAGATTGCCAGGTTGTTGTTTGAGGTAGGGGCAATGCGTCTGGTGCAAATGGTAATTTTTTTAATCTCTCACCTTTCAATTGAAGTCTCTGAAATTGTGACAAGTTAGGAACGAGGAATGTGTTGTTGTATAATTAGTAGTAAGATGAGTTTATGGATTTAGGTTAAGTTGTTGTATATATTTTTAACTACAATTCTTTTGTTGTTTCTGGTTAGTGATGGTTGCAATTGAGTTTGTTTGCAAAATACTACATCTTAGCTAAGCTTGTTGGCTTGTTGTATTCAGTTGATTATTGTTGTCTTTTTGATAGAGGTCAAGTAGAGCTCATTTGCCTTTAATGGCTCTTGGTGTTTTGATGGAGGCAACATTATTTAGAAAGAAACAGAGTAGTTGCTTAGAACATCTGTCTCATGCTTGTTTTGGCTTTGGTGAAAATGAATCCACCTTACGAGTGGTTGTTTAGAACATCTATAGGCTTTGCCGATCCTAGTGGATTTGAAAATGGTTGGGATATATGTTCAAAAATCAAGAGCTTTTTTTAGGGTTGAGGATGGGATCAATGATCTAATAACAGAGTTGTGTATAGAATGAGTGTAACTTTTAGTTTTAACAGCAATGTCTTCTACTTCTGTGATGTGTGTTATCTATTTCAGAAGAGAAGATTATACCACTTATCAGATTCGTTTAGTTGCGGTTTTTTCTTTTAATTTATTTGTTAATCAAGTTTGTCTGCCTTATTACTATGTTAAGAATTTAGAATTTAGTGAAACTGGCACTTCCCTTTGGAAGGTCTCCACGGTAGGCCCACGTGGATTGTGCAGCTTAGGCTAATGTTTTTTAAGCTTTTTCTTCGTTCCTGTGTGTGGTTCAGTCATGTGGTTTGCTATTTGCCACTGCACAGCTTTTTTAAAACCCAACATAACACCGTTCAGGCATAATAAGCCCACTCGATAACATATCCATATAGAAATGAATTGTTTCTCTTGGGCAATTCATTTTTGTAAACCTAATTGTCATCAAAGTTCAAGTCATTGCATTTTAGGCAGGCAGTTTCTCAAACAATAACCAAAGGCAGAGGCTGATTATTTGCTTAAATCAATTACAACATGTCAACATATTTGTGCTATGATAATACAGAGTAGAGCTGCTAACTTTCCCTTGCATAGATCCACATTGTGACTAATATTAATTCACTTAATTTGCATCCGCAATCAAAGTAATCCCTTCAGATTCTGAAGCACTTGATGCACAGGGACTTCGATTGTCCACACCAGCTTCACCTGCAGGAATTTGTTGTGGGTATAAGGAAGGCCTTGGAGGCATTTGGAGGCTCTCAATTTCTCCTTCAAGCATCACCACTACTTTATTCATTGAAGGGCGTTCGATAGGCTTCATTTGTATGCACCATAAAGCCACCATCATCATCTTTTTTATGATCTTCTTTTCCTCATCTGTTGCATCATCTCCTATTTCTATGTCCTTTCCTGCCTTCAACTGATCAGAAACCCATGTGGGAAAGTAGATTTGGCTAAATTGGCTTGATTGTTCTATTCCCGCATTCAGGTTTTTCCTTCTACCAGCCATTTCCATCAGTAACATTCCGAAACTATACACATCAGCTTTGTACGAAACACCTCCAATGTTTTTGTAGAACAGTTCTGGAGCTATGTATCCCATAGTTCCTCTTGCTGCAGTCAAAGATACAATGCTATTATCCAATGGGTACAGCTTTGCTAACCCAAAGTCAGATACCTTGGGAGTAAAATTCTCGTCTAGAAGAATGTTGTGAGGCTTGATGTCAAAGTGCAAAATTTGCATATCACAACCTCGATGGAGATATTCAATCCCATGAGCCACTCCAAGTGCGATTTCGAATATTTTCTGGCAACTCAAAGAGATAGCTTCTTGTTGAGAAAAAATGTATTTCTCAAGAGACCCATTAGGCATGAAATCATATACAAGAGCACGTTTTGAACCATCAACACAGAAGCCAATAAGTCGCACCACGTTAACATGGTGAATCCTTCCAATGGTAGCAACTTCATTGATAAAGTCTTGGCCATTATTAGTTTTGGTCTTGCCTAACATCTTGATGGCTACAAGGCGACCGCTGCGGAGCTTTGCCTTGTATACAGAGCCATAGCCTCCTTCCCCCAATTTGTCCTTGAAACCTCTGGCCATCTTTTTGATGTCCGAGTAAGAGTACCTTATTGGCATGAGACTATTATTACTCCGTAGAAAGTCTTCTATATTCTCATACATTGACAAGTGCCTCCTTCGCCATTTATATATTACCAGTGCAGTTAAACAACAAAAACCAAATGAAAATTTGGCTGCCAGGTATATTGCTGCATGGTTCATTAAAATGGAATTAATGAACACGAAGTATAATAATGATAAGAATAATAATAATATACTCCTTTGCATATCCATCTCAATCAAAATAAGAATATTAATTTTCCAGTGATCCAGAGGAGTATTCTTTTACCTAGGAAAGCGACTGCACATCCCAGAAGCTGGCCAAGGTATAATCCGGAATTATATAGTGGAACGAAAAGGCCTTTAAAGTGGAGGTGGTTATACATAGAGTGAAGCCCGGGTCCTGCAACAGAAATAAAGAAATCAATCGATCAATGGAATGACTAAGGTGGTTAGTCAAGCGAAAAGGCCGAAGAAAAGTAAACGTCTATTTAAATTACAGAGTTGAGGGATCCACTCGCCTATTATCTTGATTATGGACATTATGACCTTGTCGTACCAAGGGAGTACTACATTGAAAAGAAAGAAGACGGTAACATTAGTATCAAGAGAATTCTGGTTAGACCGACATAAATTATGAAATGAAAACTGTAACATTATTATCTTTAGAGGGCACTACAGTAAATAAGCATTCTTTAATATATATTTATAATTTAAAGGTTTGGCAATTGTCTAACCTTCTTCTACTTTTGGTAAGCATTGAATTCCATTGCCGGTGCTGTTCAGCTCGCAAGATTCCCCTGATCCGCAAGTTTCTGAACATGCATGACCAAGCCATGAGAGTTCAAAGCCATGCGCTATTTCATTATATATTCCTTTGCAAGACGTCATGTGCTCCTCAGTTGAAGGGGACACCATAACCATTAGTGTTATTTTGCAGGAATCCCCCAAATTGTTTGAACTTAGGCTCCAAACTGGAAATTTTATGAAATAAGAATATGCTGTTAAATTGGAGAAAGAAGAATTGGAAGCAGAATAGTTGTTGACCCCACTGATGCATGGAGCTGTTTCAACAATGAAATCGGAAGGATTCATTGGATTTTCACAGCTCAGGAAGATTATAGACATTGATGGTGTTCGGTAATTGCCAGAACTGATGTGATAATAAGGACCAGAGTAATAATAAGAAAGGTTGAAGGGGGTCAAGGAGTAGAGTGGGTGGGAGAAGTAGTTGTCCTTGATCTTGTGAACACCAGCATCCACAAGTCGGATTGTGAAGTTATTGTAATTGATTGCTTGTACGTAATACTTTCCTGATAACAAGTATAGCACTGCATGATGAGTAGTACCATTTCCCTTGGCCTCACAAGATAGCTGGAAGCTTTTGTTGCCGCAGTGTTTAGAGTCTCCTTTCAATCGGAATGGAGGGCTTATGTTAATATTTCCACAAGAACGGGTACAATCAGAGTTATCATGAGCTTTATTAGCTGTAATATTATTGGAAGCTGTTTGGGAACAAGAGGAAGGAACAAGAAGAAGAAGAAGAAGAAGGAGCACTGTGTAAGCAGCAAATAGGAGACTTCGTCCAGACATGCTGTCAGAGTACAAGGGAAATTTCCAATTTAGTGTCTAGTCTAAACTATTTAAAGAGATAAATTTTTTTTTTTTTTTTTTTTTTTTTTTTTTTTTTTTTTTTTATCAGATAAAAATTAAGAGATCACCGTAGCCGTCGGCCATTGACTAAAACATCCAGAAGGAGTGGGGCCCATGTCATCTCAAGTAATCCACACAACAAAAAGAAACCCAAGTCCATATCATATCATATCATATCATATCATCTTCAAGGATACTTGTACTCTGCAAATAATTTCTTGCCATCATGAATTTCTCACGGTGGTTGCTCATGATAGTCGTAATAGTAGTAGATGCAGTCAATGGTGGAGTAGGCCATGAAGATTGCAGAGAAACAAGATGTCACCCCTACGGCCCAGCCATCCGATTCCCATTTCGACTTAAAGGTAGGCAGCCAATCCATTGTGGCTTCCGGGGCTTCGATGTTTCATGCACTGACGACAACCGGACTATGCTCGAGATGGCATCGTCGTCAGCTAACTTCCGGGGCTTTGATGTTTATGAGATTAACTACAGATCTCATACAATTGGAGGAAGAGGTTATGATGGTTGCTTGCCAAGGGAGTTGTTTTACAGTAATGGTTCTTATCCCTTTGAATTCGTAGGCCCCGCAACCTTTTTCAGTTGTCCACCGTCAACAGTAAGAGATGAATTTTGTTCCAATTATTCTTGTCTGGCGAGATTGAGTCCATGCCATGGCAACAATTCTGGTAACCATATTTACGCTGCCTTTAATGATTATTGTTCCATTGATACCATGCCCCTAGTGTCTTGTATCAAGTTGCATAACCACACATCAGATCCTGCATATTATGATGGGATGGGAATATTGCATTGGTCCATTCCGTCATGTGAACATTGCAAAGGTATTTTACACTCCAAGTTTACTTTCCAACTACAATTTCAAGATTAATTGAAGATTCTATGCAAACTATAATTTTGGATTTCATTGATTTGAAAGCCGGCCCTTATTTCATGAACAACTTTTACAGGTCGTAATCTTAGAAACCGAAATCTGAAGATATTAGGTGAGCTATATCCGCAGACCTTCATTTAATCTAATTTCTTTTTTTCCTTCCTTTTTCTTTCTTTTATGAATATAATGGGGAGGAAGTTAATCAAGGATATGTTTGGAAGAGAGTTTAAAATGGCTAAAAATGCTTTAAAAAACGTTTGACACAAAAAGAAAATATTTGCAGGTATTTCCGCACTCTGTTTAGTTCTAATAGCGATGGGGACGACAATCTGCTATGTCTACAACTCAAACAAAAAGGAAAAAGAAAATCAGCTTAGAATTGAAAGATTTTTGGATGAATACAGAGCGATGAAGCCAAGTAGATATTCCTATGTTGATATTAAGAGGATAACAAGTCAATTCAAGGAAAAGTTGGGTCAAGGTGCCTACGGAACAGTGTTCAAAGGAAAGCTTTCCTCCGAGTTACTTGTTGCTGTGAAAATGCTCAACAATTCAAATGAAAAAGGGGAAGATTTCATAAACGAAGTGGGGACAATGTGTCAAATCCACCATGTCAATGTGGTTCGCTTGGTTGGAATTTGTGCCGATGGATTTATTCGTGCTCTTGTTTACGAATACTTACCAAATGGTTCTTTGCAAAATTTCTTATCATCAGCAGATAATAAGAATTCATTCATTGGTTGGGATAAGTTGCAAGATATCGCTCTAGGAATAGCTAAAGGAATTGAATATCTTCACCAAGGATGCGACCAACGAATCCTGCACTTCGATATCAAACCACATAATGTATTGCTAGACCAAGATTTCACTCCAAAAGTTTCTGATTTTGGTTTAGCCAAGTTTTGTGCTAAGGATCAAAGCGCAATATCGATGACTACAGCCAGGGGGACCATGGGCTACATTGCACCCGAAATCTTCTCAAGGAACTTTGGCAATGTCTCCTATAAGTCGGATGTCTATAGTTTTGGAATATTGTTGCTTGAAATGGTTGGAGGCAGGAAGAACTTTAAAGTCATGGAGGACTCCACTAGCCAAGTCTACTTCCCAGAATGGATCTATAACCTTTTAGAGCAAGGCAACGACCTACGAATCCATATCGGTGATGACGAAGGAGATGTCACAATTGCTAGGAAACTTGCAATTGTGGGTCTATGGTGCATCCAATGGCATCCAATAGATCGTCCTTCAATGAAAGTTGTAGTTCAAATGTTGGAAAGAGAAGGTGAGAATCTAGCCATGCCTCCTAATCCTTTTGCAAGTACTTCGAGTTGAAGGAGAATATAGTGAACAGATCTCTACGTTGAAGAAGCAGCTGTGTCTGTATGGATTATACCACTAACTTATGAGATGACTCTTCGAGTGTTCTTATAATAAGATTGTTATGGTATTGTTGTGTGTTAAGCAGCTAGTACTAGTTAATTAAGAAATTGGTTTGAGTTCAATAAATTTCAATGTAAAGTTTTAGATAGCAATAATTCATCAAACTTGCAGTACATGTTATAATTGAGACTAAGATAGTGTCTCTTTTGCTATATATTCATATATAATGGTGTATTTTGAATTATAGAAAGGAAAAAAAGGGTGACCCATATTGTGGTAGAGCATATACCAAAGTGAATAAAATTGTTAGTATTTATATTTTTTTTCATACAAACACTTATGAAGGAAGAAGAATCGAATAATATTGATCTTCCGTGGTAAAATAAATGATCTTAATCATTAGAACTACAAACTCCTTGTAATATTAATTTTTCTTCAACATGTAAGTATTTAGATGAGGGTACGTCAATATTTCCTGTGAACCCCTCTACTTAATCAATATTTTTAAGCTTTTATCCAAAGCTCTAACATCTTATTATTAAGATATTACAACACTAGCCATTAGTCTATGTCCACTCCACAATGTCATCTTATTAACCAAAAGATTCATGATTTAGGTCATTACTCAAAGATGATTGTTACAAAAAATTACTTAAATAAATAGAAGAACTCAATACTTCTTATAAACGATGATTACCTAAAAAATGAATAATTCAAATTATGTGATGATATAGTGAAAAAAACTCAAATATATATATTTTTTCCCCTTAGGTTTTTTTTGATAGGATCCTTTGTATTTGAATGGTCGTGTAGTTTAGATATCCAAATAAATCATTCTTGATCCACTCCCATCAACAGCACAATAAACTAGTCAGAGTATTGCGCTCAAAACTTCAAATAATCCGAAGCGTTGATTTTTTATATCATGAATTAACATTCAACATATAACTGACAATAAACTAGTCTATATATTGTTTTCAAGGGAATAGACCATTCTCTCTGCTAAACTCAAAGGTGCAGAAGATACCAAGTTTGTGCTCAAAACTGTTGATTAATATTCAAACACAGTTGTTATGAGAGGTACTTGTCTATTTATCATTGTCCACATTCCGAGCCACCCCAATGAAATTTCCTTTCAGGTGAAGAAGACTAATCAAATTTCCGAAAGGTTTTTGGGCCTAGTGAAGCAAGAAGCCAAGTGCAGGCAAGATAGAGGAAGACTTTGACCATATACTCATGTTATGTGGTTCTCATCCTATTCCAAAAGAAAAAAAGGACAAAAAGAAAAATAGAACAAAGAAAGTTCAATAAGAACTAAACACTTGTTCCACAATAGACAACTACTTAACTTGGGAATCTCTCCAACCCACTCCTCAAGTCAGGAAATATTTTCTGCATTAACGATTATTTGGACTTTTTAATACAATGCCGACCAGTGGTTTGGGTCCACTTAATAGTATCATTAAAATGAATCTGAATTATCTTCTTAGATTTCTCTCTATCATGATATACTTGACTCTTATTAGCATGCAATCTTATCAAACATAGATTATTTTTAAATAAAACAAAATGGCTGCACACCCAAAACAAACTTTACGAAACGTTAAAACAGATTGTTGCTCTCTTCCCATCGCCTCCCCCTTTCACCTTCAAAAAGCAAACCAAACCATACAAGAAGATCCAGCAGCTCATAGCTATGGCATGTTCTTCAAATTTCACACTGCAACATGTTTAAAGAATACAAGTGTCTTAGTTACTCAATTCAATTTTGCTTCAATATCTTGCAATTTCTCTCACCATACACAAGATTTTCTTCCTCCATTCCAAGTACGAGATACGATGGTTTTAAAAGAAAAACATATGAAATAATCAAATCTGACAATTTGCCCATTAATCAAAACCTAATAAAGTTCACAAGTAATCTTCGGTAGTTTCCCATATATATTATAAGCTAGAGTTAGTTTTTTTTTTTTTTTTTTTTTTTTTTTTTTTTTTTTTTTTTTTTGGCCAAGATTGGAGATTTGATTGTGTCTCGGTGCTTACCCACCCAAAATTCATGGTATCTTCCAATTTGTTACTATAAGAAAAATATTATGTTAAATTTCAGAGAGATAGGTCATCGGCCCACTACTAACAACACCAATATTGTTCCCAACTTAACCACCTACAAAGCCCAGTAAGTGTGAGATTTTATCACAAAAGTCCTTAAAAGTCACTTTACAAAGGGCTAAATTTGTCCTTAAAATTTTGAAGATAAGGTGGGTGGGGAAATAGGAGCACTCGGCATCTAATTGCGATAAAAGAATAATAGATGAACATATTACTTCATATAAATAATAATAATAATTCATGATAATAATTAAATGAATAAACGATTTTTTATTTGGCTAATTTTTTTATAGCTCTTGAGTTTATATATATCTCCAGATAAATGATTCTTGGTCCACTCCCATCAACATGACAATAAATTAATCTATATATTGTTTTCAAGGGAATAGAGCCATTCTCTCCACTAAATCAAAGGTGCAGAACATATAGTTTTGTGCTCAAAACTATTGACTAATATTCAAACACAGATGTTATGAGAGGTATTTATCTATTTGTCGTTGTCCTCATTCTAAGACACCCCAAGGAAATTTCCTTTCTGGTGAAGAAGACTAATGAAATTTCCTTTCTTGTAGGCAACATAGAAGAAGACTTTCACTATATACTCATGTTATGTGGTTCTCATCCTATTCCAAAAGAAAAAAAGGACAAAAAGAAAAAAAAAGTTCATTGCCAAGTTTCTTATCAACATATAATAAGAATTCATTTTTTAGTTGCAAGATATCGCTTTTGGAATAGCCAAACGAATTGAATATCTTTGCCTAGGGTGTCACCACCGAATCCTCCACTTCCGATATAACACCACATAATATGTATTTGCCAGATATCCAAAAAAAAATAAAAGAGTTCATACAATGCTAACCAGTCGTTTGGGTCCACTTAATAATATTATTAAAATGATCTGAAGCGTTCATTTTTTAGATCATGAATTAACATTCAGACACAACTGACAATAAATTAGTCTATATATTGTTTTCAAGGGAATAGATCATTCTCTCCACTAAACTCAAAGGTGCAGAAGATACCAAGTATGTGATCAAAATTGTTGATTAATATTCAAACACAACTATGTCTATTTATCATTGTCCACATTCTGAGCCACCCCAAGGAAATTTCCTTTCATATGAAGAAGACTAATGAAATTTCCAAGAGGTTTTTGGGCCTAGTGAAGCAAGAAGCCAAGTGCAGGCAACGTAGAGGAAGACTTGACCATATACTCATGTTATGTGGTACTCATCCTATTCCAAAAGAAAAAAAGGTCGGAAAGAAAAATAAAACAAAGAAAGTTCAATGAGAATTAAACACTTGTTCCACAATAGAGAACTACCTAAGGTTGAGAATCTCTCTAACCCACTCCTCATGTCAGGAAATATTTTCTGCATTAGTGATTATTTGGAAAGTGGGTTATATGGCCTTTCATGGGACCAAGTTGGGCTTTTAGGACTTAGGCATTTCTTCGGGCTAATTTGGTCGGTTTTACTACCTCGACCCAAGCCCACTCACACGGGCCGGACTATTAGGGCTTCAACGTGTTGTATAGAATTTGGTTGGGCTGGGTTGGGCTACATTGGGTTACTTAAGTTGGACTGGGCTAAGGCTGTTTTTTTTTTGTTGAGAATTTCATGA